GGTTGCCAAGTTGCCGCCAGCACTGCTGACCCGTCCGGAAGTATGAACGTTGACTCGGAGGAATTTTGTGCAAGCAGAATGTCCTGGAATTCGGTAGCTTGGCTTTCCAGTGCAAGGACGGCATGTGTGATGTTGCTGACTCTCGTCCGAGTCCAGGTGGATGTTGACGATGTAGATGTCGACGATATAGATGTTGACGATGTAGACATCGACGTGCTGGACGTGTGCGAGGTGGATGTTGCCGTGGACACTGTTGATGAAGAAGCTGAGGTGCTTGACGTGGAGGCAGAAGTGCTTGTAAATGAGCTTGTGGTTGTTGTGATTGTTGTTGTGGAGGGAGCAGGGGGAGCGCACCCCACAGTGCTTGGGGTGTAGAAGGATGTGCAGCCGGGAAAGCTGCGAGTGGGCTCACTTGGAACATCCTCTGCGCAAATTGCCTTGTCCTTCAGCCAGCACTTCGCAGGAGAATGGCACTTGGAAAAGCCATTGCAACCTGCAGTTGTGTCGCACGCCGCCGCACATGCGCCAGGCGTGCCGTCGTCTGGGCTCGAGATAGCGTCGAACGCGACGTTGCCAACGTCATTGCCTTCACTTTGCCAAACAATATCCTTGCCCGGCGTCAGATATGAGGCAGCAGCAGGGTACAGCCAGACCCAGAAGAGGAGCCAGAATCGGGCAAGAGCGGCCCTGAAGCAGTAGCCGGTCATGATTGCCCATCAGGAGCTTCGGCTGAATGTCTTGCTCTTAAACGGGCTGTGCCCTTGTAGAAGAAGCCCGTTGCCCTACTTGCCTTCTTCCGGGATTTTGGGGTCCCTTTGTCTTAATTGACAGGGGAGGTTAGAGTTGAGTTCAGGGATTCGTTTTGTCTTCCGGGGGGGGTGCGGGTCAAGCATCACTGGAGGAAGCTGGAGGCTGAACCTCTGCCCGCACGCATCTTGCTGATTGAAGCTTGGTGAGGGGGGTTTAGGGTTTAGGGTTTAAGGGGTGCTTTCTGTGTTTGTGTGGTCGGGTATCTGGCTTCCAGCGCTTGCCGTTCCGAGCTCCCTTGCATGAACCCTATCCCATGAAAACATGAGCATGTTTAGCAGACGGGGGTATACGAAAGTAAGCGACCCCACATTTCGACCCCAAATAGTAGGATTCCCTTAGAGTAAGGACCCCAATAAGATTCCTAGCCCTAAACCCCAAACCCCAAACCCTAAACCCTAAACCCCAAACACAGATATTCAAGCCCAGGGGTTTGCCCACGGGGGCCCCATGCAGCCTCGGGATTGGGGATCCTAGCAGGTTGGGATGTTTTAGGGTTTAGGGTTTAGGGTTTAGGGCTATAGGGGTCGGAATCTATAGTGATCGGAATAACTACGAATCTTATTCCCTTATGGCCCCTTTATGATTGTACTAGAATGAACCCCCAAACCCCCATTCAAATTCTTAAGGCTCCTAAGTTGCGCGGGCGTCGGCCGACATCAGGCAGCCAAAAGCCCGCCTGCACTCTGAACTGTATGCCCCTCCTTCCTGCGACCCTCCTTAGAGGACATCACACAGTTTAGGGTTTAGGGTTTAGGGTTTAGGGTTTAGGGTTTAGGGTTTAGGGTTTAGGGTTTAGGGTTTAGGGCAGTCCTTTCGCACGCTCCATGGACTGAAAATACCACAGGAACACCGCCACAAAGACCCTTGATTCTCAAGAGTCCCCAAAGCTCTGCACAGGGGAACATACAAGACCGTGCTCCCGGCTTTGGGAGAGCCATCCCCTCTGGGGACCTTACGGTCATTAATGTCAAGCGGTATCGGGTTCACCTTCTCAAGTCTCTCAAGTCTTACACACAGGGCTTTCGAGCACACAGGTAACGCAAGCCGAGAAGGTGTGACAAAGGACAACCTCAGCGAACCTTGCTTGCGTGCATCATCCGGTCTCTCTTACGTCCGACGCGATTCAGTTCATGCAGCCTTTCCGGGCAGAGCGCCCGGTGCCAAGTTGGCAAGAGACTTGGCGGTTAATGCCGCTAGTTCAGGCAGCGATATGCCTCGGCTGCTGAACTGGCTGCTCATACAGCACAGCCAAGACATTCAATGCTTAGCCACATTGATGGTGCCCTGCTTGTTTTGCAGGGGTGGAAGGGTTTCCCCCTTGTATACTTACAGGTACCAGAGGGATCGGAATGATTACTAACTGTATTCCCTTAGGGTCCCTTTATACTTATACTACAATAACCCTCCGGAAAACCCTATTCTAAATTTTCAGCCCCTCTATTGCTTTTTTTTAAACGGTGTTTTTTTAAGGTGGACGATTCGGGTTCGGGTTGATCGTGGGTTTGGACTATGGGCCGCCAAACTCATACACATGGGGGTTTACGAAAGTATAGGGGACCCCAAAATATAGATCCCCAAAATAGTAGGATCCCCTTACAATCAGGACCCGAATAAGGTACCCCCCTAATTTCGGAGACTCTCGCATGAATCTGAGACCTGAAGCTAAACTCAGCCTTTGTCTGAGCGGCTGTGGCACTGTTCCCACAGAATTGCGTCAGCGTTGTCCTGGCGAGAACTTCTAAAGCCTTCGCGATCAATAACCAAACGAGGTTGATGGGCAAAGAACTACCTAAACCCAGGCTTGCGTGGTCTTTACGTGGTCGGCAAGTATGCAAGGAAGGAGCACTATGGGGCGCACACGTTGAGGGCCTCAGGGCCTCCAGAGCACTTGAGCCAAGTGGCATCACACCAATGGGGATGAACTGAAGCACGGATAGCCTCCAATGGGAGTTTATGCGAGTTGATGAGTTGATGGGGTTTTGGGGTTCCATTTGCAGCCTGAACTGGCAGTGCCAGATGCTTCTGGCCAGGGGCTTGTCATCTAGGGAAGCCCTTAGTGGGATCTTTTCTATGTTTCTTCTTGGGTTTAAGAGGATCATCTTCGGGAATATTTTTCAGAGGGCTTTAAGGGCCATCCTAGTTATGTTTCATGGTCTCAGGGCCTCGCTGGGTTGAAGGTTCTGGTTCACTGAAATCTCGCAGGTGTCAAGTGGGGTAGTTTATCGAGTCTCTCTCCGTGTTTTTGCCTAAACCCTAAACCCTAAACCCTAAACCCTAAACCCTAAACCCTAAACCCTAAACCCTAAACCCTAAACCCTAAACCCTAAACCCTAAACCCTAAACCCACTCAACAAGAATAGTAGCGACACATCCAACGCGCCCTACCGAGTTTACGAGTCTCTTCATCCCAACAAGGAGAGGTAACGACACATCCCACTCGCCCAGCTAACCCTAAACCCTAAACCCTAAACCCTAAACCCTAAACCCTAAACCCTACTTGCAGCCAGGAAGCAGCGACCAACCTAACGGCATCCCAAGAAGCGTCAGCGGCAGCACCTTTCCTTCGGACTCCAGCTCATCACCTCGAGGGTTTAGGGTTTAGGGTTTAGGGTTTAAGTTTAGGGTTTAGGGTTTAGGGTTTAGGGGTACCTTCGAATCTTGGGGTCATAAGGTCACAGGGCTTGGTTCAGGGCTGCTGGTAGCTAGGCAGGGTGTAGAGACAAGGTCACAGGGCTCAGTTTGGTGCTTTAGGGTAGCTAGACAGGGTTTTGGGCATGGCCCTGCGGTCAATTTTTGCCGATGGAAGAAGACAGAAGCCCTAAACCCTAAACCCTAAACCCATAACCCCTAAACCCTATAAACCCTATAAACCCTAAACCCCTAAACCCTAAACTTAAACCCGAACTCTTCGCGAGTCTGTTCTCAGCCCGGCGGCCAAGGCAGCTGATAAGCTCCGCTGCCTGCTCCAGCTCTGTGGGCGAGGGGTCCGGTGGCATGACCTTAAGACTTTGGGGTTTTTTCACCCTAAACCCTAAACCCTAAACCCTAAACCCTAAACCCTAAACCCTAAACCCTAAACCCCAAACCCTAAACCCTAAACCCCAAACCCCAATTTTGGGGCGTCGGGGGGGTCGGATGTGGGGGGACCCTGGGCCCCAGGGCTGGCGGGTCTCTGCCAAGGCACTCCCGTGATGCTCTGCGACATCTTTGGCATGGTGCAGGTACTCCTTCGCAATTTGGGAGGAAGCCCTAAACCCTAAACCCTAAACCCTAAACCCTAAACCCTAAACCCGAAACCCGTCGAGACAGAAGTAATACAGGGGCCTTAAGAATTAGAATAGGGTTTTGGGGATTATGATAGTGTATTTATCAAGGGACCATAAGGGAACTACTATTAGTAGTTATTCCGACCCCCAAAGTAATCAACAACTTCCTGTTTCTGCAGCGCGATCTGGCGAACCCAGGCTACCCGAAATGCTGCGCTGCTAGCTGCTCACTTCACTAGTGAACACAAGCAATCCAGAACCAGCATTGCTGTGACTGATGCGAACCATGCTGGGCCTAGGCTCAGGGTTTCGGGTTTAGGGCTCAGTGGTTGAATCGCTCACACTCGGACAACCCAGGCGTCCCAAAGTTTATCTTCGGTGAAGCCCATTCGGGCCGCTGTGATACTAAGCTCTGTTTCCGGGTGCTACTCTGGGTGATACTCATTCGAGAAGACTCAGTTGCCAGTTACTTCCAGGATACATACTAGGATTTAGGGTTTAGGGTTTAGGGCTTTCGTCGCCGGGGCGCGTTCTGTACCTCATGCTCGTCATGAGGGTGCGCGATCGGTTCAGCAAGAACCGATGTCGCTCCTGAGCATGCCATGGACTCCCAAGCCCTGACTTTTCTAAGCGCCATCGCAGCCCAACGGTCCTCAACCCCCCGAAGCACAACATGCCCTTCAATGGCCACGCATGCATCCCTAAACCCTGAACCCTGAACCCTACATCCTAAACCCTAACAAAGCTGCCGCCCAAGACTCGGCAGACTGATTGACCTGAGCCGCAGTAAGGGGGGATGTCAGCAGCCAGCTGCACATCCCTGAAGCACCAACACAACCCTAGAGGTTCATCTGGGGGGTTTACGATGCAAAGCTGGGAGTACGCACATTCGCAATGCTGGACCCGACTTGCTGCACAAAGCTTCGCTCCCCCAAAACCCTGCAGGGTTTAGGGTTTAGGGTTTAGGGTTTAGGGTTTAGGGTTTAGGGTTTAGGGTTTAGGGTTTAGGGTTTAGGGTTTAGGGTTTAGGGCTACCAGTGCGAGTTAGGGCTACCAGTGCGAGTTCCGGCTTGAGGATTTAGGGCGCCTCGTTTCCCAGGTAGACCAAGACGAAGATGGACACCATGAGCGAGATGCTGACCTTGCTTCATGGGCTCCCTTTGAAGCTCAGTTAGCACACCGGGAGCCCTCGAACCCAAGAATCCTAAACCCTAAACCCTAAACCCTAAACCCTAAACCCTAAACCCTAAACCCTAAACCCTAAACCCCTAAACCCTAAACCCCTGAACCCCTGAACCCTAAAACCTCCAGGCTCTGAAGCCCTCAACCCCCGATGCTTGCCCTCCTGAAGAACTCTGCTTCAAAAATCTTCTGGGACCGAGGAGTCAGGGCTTAGGGAATAGGCCTCACCCAAAAAAACAACGAACACCCAAAACCCCATTAAAAGCACCATGCAGCCTGAACCTCCAGAATCCTAAACCCTAAACCCTAAGCCCTATTAAGCACCATACCTGAACCTCCAGAATCCTAAACCCTAAACCCTAAGCCCGATTAAGCACCATACCTGAACCTCCAGAATCCTTAACCCTAAACCCTAAGCCCTATTAAGCACCATAAAGCCCGAACCTCCAGAATGCTTAAAAAGTGGCGGTGCCGGCCACCACCAGGGAGGCGAGGTTGACCCCGCTGAATTCCGTGTAGTCCTTGCGTTTCCGGGTTTAGGGTTATATGTGCGGTTGAGGGAGCTCATGGCGGGGTGCATGACTTGAACGAACAGTCTGGCTGCTTTAAGGTTGAGCCCGTTTAGGAGCTTTTGCAGGCTTCAATCCTCGCAGAGTTGCAGGATCTTGGTGTGCTAGGGCGCACGTGCATCTTGTCTACACTGCGTGCGCCCAACGAGGATTGAATGCATTGCCGTCACCAGGCTCTTGTTGGGAATGACGCCGAGCTGGCGGGTGGGCATCGCATATCACATGTTATATATTCGCATCGGCCTCGGCCGAGAGGCCTCTAGAACAAGCAGACCAGGACTTGGTCTTCTCCCTTCCCCCCGCCCCCCCCGCCGCCTCGCTGGGACCCCTTCTCCGGGATCAACTCTAAACCCTAAACCCTAAACCCTAAACCCTAAACCCAAAAACCCCCCCAACCTCACTTATGCTGCTGGTGCAAAGATTCAGGATTGGACAGTCGACGTGAGCGTCCGGTGGCTTGGGCCGGCCCGGCTGCCCAGGCGGCGCGCGCAAGCGCTTATACGTCTATTTTCGTATACGGGACTTGTCGCTGTCGAAATCTATTCTCCAAGAGAAAAGGTCAGAGCATAACTGGCAGATATGTGATAGCATATATATATATATATATATATATATGCGTGTGTGTATGAACAAATAAACGGTGCAAATACAAACGAAAAACAATATAGACGCAAACCTATGCATGTATGTGTTGAAAAGTGCTTTCGATACTTGGTGGCAGACACTTGCGCGGGCGAGCTTCCTCGATGAGCATGCCGGCGACCAAGTCGCCCAGGATGAGGATCAGGAAGAAGAAGAACTCTGCCTTATAACGGCCGGCGGCCTCTTTTCTGTTTCCCTTATACCTTAATATAGCCCCCCTAGAGACCCCAACAAGAACCCCCGACAAAACAGAAACGTACTTAAAGAGACCACCAACCAATATGAACTCTGCCGGAAGAGGCTAAGAAATCCCGGCGCAAGTTGTTCCGTATGCATGGCTTAGCCCCCAAGGAGAACTTCAGCCAAATTGAAAGAATCCTAAACCCTAAACCCTAAACCCTAAACCCTAAACCCTAAACCCTAAACCCTAAAAACTCCGAAAGCCAGGGCGAGGAGCGGAGAACGCACGCACCCTGAGGTGGTAGAACTTGCCCCACTCGGTGCAGAGCTGCCGTAGCTTGCGCCAGCCCGCCACGGTGTTGACGTCCTCCAGAGTCTAAGGGGTTTAGGGTTTAGGGTTTAGGGTTTAGGGTTTAGGGTTGAGGGTTTAGGGTCTCACGCCTGCGAAATGCGAAGGGTTTAGGGTTTAGGGTTTAGGGTTTAGGGTTTAGGGTTGAGGGTTTAGGGTTTAGGGTTTAGGGTTTAGGGTTCCGTGTTATGGTCCCTTAGGTTGTCTAGGGTATAGAAGGGGTAGATAAGGGGTCCCCTTTTTAAGGCCCATATTCAGAGATCATGTAACTACCCTAAGACAGAGGGGTCTGAGGGGCCTATGGGTGTTCTCGTAGGTTCTGGGATTCTAGGACATCAGGGTTTTCGTCCACTAAACCCAGGAGTAACCCAGGAATCAAAAGGGTGCCCTTTTGGTTGTAAGGGGAGTATAAGGGAACCCCAACCCTAAACAAAAGAAATAAGGGCCTACTCCGGGTCCTAGTAGCCCTAAACCCTAAACCCTAAACCCTAAACCCTAAACCACATCTAGACCAAGGGGCTGAGAGGTCGAGCACCGGAAGCATGTCGACCTGCCCGGAAAACCGAACGGGAGAAAGGTTTAGGGTTTAGGGTTTAGGGTTTAGGGTTTAGGGTTTAGGGTTTAGGGCTTAGGGTTTAGGGTTTAGGGTGACCTAGCACTCATGGGTCGGGTAGGTGAGGGAGCCATGAATTCTTCGCAATGTTGTCAGACAGGCCCCTGCTTCTGAACCTCGGCTTAATAAATTTCAGCTCGAGTGGTCATACCAAGCTCCATGCCTACATGCGATTTCCCAAACACTATCCTCCTGACGTACCAGTCGCTTGAATTTACGGTTTAGGACTCCTAAACCAAAAGCCCCGGGCTCTGCCCAACCCAAGGGGCAGAACCCTAAACCCTAAACCCTTTTTGCAACTGGGCTTGAGGACCTGCCAGATACTTGCATCACGGCCATTCGTGTTCACCCAAAACCCTAAACCCTAAACCCTACACCTCTTCCGTCCATTCCCTTCCTTACTGTCCGCCTCGGCCGGGCAGTGGCGGCGAAACTCACGGGAGACGGACAGCATGGCGGCACAGCTGCGCATCAGAGACCGCCGCCTCCGGGAGTCAGGGTTTAGGGTTTAGGGTTTCGGGTTTAGGGTGTAGGGTTTAGGGTTTAGGGTTGGGATAGTATTAAAAATCTAAGTTTCTATTCCTGAGCCAAAATGAGATGTTCCCCCTTATACTAAGAGTCCTTCATAGGGATTATACTAGGGAATGCTAGAATCCCCATTCAGGGCTGTTCGTGTAAGGGCGTACATCCCAAGAGCCCAAATAGAGACCCCCCAAATAGTAGGATTACCTTAGAATAAGGACCCCAATAAGGCACCCCTATTTTCGGAAACCCCCATATGGGCTGTAGGAGTCAGGGAGGCTTGGGTTCTTTGCTTGCTGGTGCACTTATCGACTTGTGCATGTCCCTAGGCAGGGCCATGCGCTTATACTGGCTTAAGGTGTCCAGCCTTTTCACCCCCTAAGCCTTTCTGTAACCCAGGAGCCCATATAACCGTCAAACGTTAAGCCCTGGGCTTCAGGATTTGGGAGCTTAGGGTTGAACCGCAGTGCAAGGTTTGGGTGTGAGGGTCCTGGGGGCTTGGAGTATGTGGGGGCTGGCGCAAGGTTTTTCAGGATGTGCCCGGCTTTTTCAGGGGGAGTTTGGCATGCTCAACATCTTCAAGCTGGTCAATCCTCGGTGCTTGGGCAAGGCAGTGCTTTGACTCCGTGGGCTTCACCATTATTTGTTTTTTTAAAATCTCTTGTTTGAGGGGGCCCAAGTGAAGGGACCCCTTGGTAAGCTACTGCTACCATGCTTGGAGTGGGAGGCTTCGGGGTCTAGGCAGTCGGCAATCGGACTTGTCTTTCTGCGAGATTTCTGCAGGGCAAGGCTTCGGATGTGGCATTTTGTGGTACATGGGAGGACTTGGGGTTTAGACAAGACCTTGAACCCGAAACCCGAAACCCTAAACCTGTCCCCTAAACCCTGAACCCTAAACCCCTTTTTTGTCAACCCAGACTCCTCACCTGAACCCTAAACCCTAAACCCTAAACCCTAAACCCTAAACCCTGAACCCTGAACCCTGAACCCTGAACCCTGAACCCTGAACCCTGAACCCTAAACCCTGAACCCTAGAAGGCAAAGGATGCCAAAGCCTCCACATGTCCACACCACCGACGGCAATGAAACTCAAGGATGAAAGCATGCCTTAGGCCAGCAATTACATCTAGGATTCTTTTTTGCCACTCGCCTCGAAAAAACTCCTGGAGGCTACTGCAGAGATGAAGGAAACATACTTAGACTCTGCCCACAATAAGTATCCAAACTTATGAAGTCGCGGTCTTGGAAAATATTGTCCAGAGGATTGCTCGCAAGTTTGCAGGATTTAGGGCTTAGGGTTCAGGGTCAACGGCTAGATCAGAGGGCCACTTCCTGAACGAAATTCCGTTTTGGGTTCCTGTTGTGCTACTACTGTCCCCGCAGGGAACTGTGCCCCATTGGCCATCTGAACTTCTTTTTTTACCCGGGTTGCAGAAAGGTACGTGGCGCTTACGGGCTCATACATGGCAGGCCTTTCCTCTCAACATTGTCCTTTTCATGCGAAAATGGGTTACCTGGGTTAGGGTTGAGGCACGTGCCGTTTGCAGCAAAGCAGCAAAGAAAGTTGGATGGCCAGAAGCCAACGACGAGGATGGTCGACGCGGTTTCTGACATTGCTGCCAAGGCTCTTCGGGTTCAGGAAACATACACTACCCTACACAGCTTCCACGGCACACATGACTGCAGTTACACCTACAAGAGGCTTCCTGAACTTTCCGAAGCTCTTGGGGAAAGGTTAAAAAAACACGCCTCGGGGAGTTTGCAGAGCTTCAGGTTCTTGGTGGGTTGGGGCTTTGGAGTTCGGTCCTGGCCCGAGGAACCAGCCAGTGTTCCGCCAGCGCAGGAAGGATGGAATGAAGATGGCGATCAAGGTCAGGACCAGATTTCTTGGCAGAGCAATGTTGGGAGTAGGGTTCGTGGAGCACTAGGAAATTCGTTCAGGCTTTGTGCCCCCCCCCTCTCCCCCCCCGCCCCCCAAGAAAACGCAAGATGCTTGAAGGAGCTTGTCGTTGTAGTGAGTGTAGTGCTGAAGCTTCCAGTCGAGTGGATAACGTGGTCAGGGTGCAGGGCATGTGTTGCATCGAAGCTGCTGGGTTCAGACGATCAGGGTTGCAATCATGCATTTAGGAAGGCTTTGACTCTGTAAGCATGGCACGGAATCGGCAGTCTTCTGCCTTCTTCATCCTGCTTCCACGCTGCCCCAGCAAAGCCTAAACCCAAAAACCCTAAAGCCTGCAACCCTAAACAAACGCTTAGAACCCTTAAACCCTGCAAAACCAAGCCTAAATCCAAAACCCGAAATCCTAAACCCCCACTCCAACCGGGTTGGGGGGGGGGGGGGGGGGGGGGGGGGTGGGGGGGTTTGGAGGGGGTTGGGGTGGGGGTTGGGAGGGGGGGGGGGGGGGGGGGGCAACACTGCACCATATATATATATATATTATATATATATATATATGTGTATGTAGGTATGTATGTATGTATATATATATATAATACACAGACATTTTTGTTTTTCTATGTGGGACTCGATTCGTTGCCGCTGCCCATCCTGCGGCAGATAGCCATCTACACATGTAGCGCGCCTCACTTTGCAAATGCAGCCGAAGCGCATGCGGACCAAAGGGGGTATAATCACCTGGCAACAGAGATTCGACCCTGAAAGGTCCAACTGTGGATTGCAGGTGTAGCCTTTGTCTGCGCTTGTCATTTTCGCAGCGGTTGCACTGGCATCCGGCTGTCGTTTAGAAAAGAAAGTGGAAGCCTCACTTCCATCATTACACACGCACAATGTCCGAGTCACTTTCGGGCCTAAACCCTAAACCCGAAGCCCTAAACCCATAGGGTTTAGGGTGTAGGGTTTAGGGTTTACTCATTAAAGCTGGGGTCTCCTTCGAGCTCCCCTCGCCCCATCTCTCTCCAAAAAATCACAATCATCATCAACAACAAACCCTAAACCCTAAACCCCAAACTCCAAACCCCAGAGTTTTTAGTCGTAGCACTCACATTACAGCCAAGAACAAAACCATCAACAACCAAATGCTGAGGTCGTGGGCTCTGGCAGGGGGATATGGGGAGGGGCTAAGGGGCTGAACGGGTTTGGGCAGACTGCTAGGAGACCCTAAACCCTAAACCCTAAACCCTAAACCCTAAACCCTAAACCCTTTTTTGCAACTGGGCCCGCGGACTTAGCCCCAAAACCCTAACCCCCCTGGGCCTTCTCACTGCGCACAATAGCGCGCAGGAAGTAGAGGAACCTCAATCTCACGTCTGACATGTTTTGGCGGCTCCGGGGGTTTAGGGTTTAGGGTTTAGGGCTTTTCTGGGGTTGGAAGCCTACTATTTGGGAGTTTCTGTTCGGGGGCCCCATATTTTTGTAAACCACCACGTGCATATGAAAAAAAAATGCGCGAACGTGATAGGTGTTCGAGGAGCAGGTCCTCGATAGCGACCTCTCCGCCTGCCTCCGCCGTCTTAAAGAGCCTGAGCGCGCTCTCACAGATATGGGGGCTTACGATATTAGGGGGTACCTTACTTGTTGGCATTGGGGTCCTTATTGTAAGGGGATCCTACTATTTGGGGTTCTGTTTTAGGGGTCCCCTATTTCGTGAACCCCGTATCTGTGGCTCTGAGAGGAATTGAACCTGCCATGTAGCACCTTGCAGAAACCAAGGGTGTTGTACGTACAAGTGGCTTCTTGCACGTTCGATCATTAGGGTTCAGGGTTTAGAGTTTAGGGTTGCACAAGTAACAAGGGGACTGCCCGTTTGCGCTCTACGCTTTCGGGGTCCTGTGCATCGGCTGCAAGGCGAACACTACTAAAGCTGTCCAAGATTGGCCCCGGAGCTTCTTCTCCCGCTCCAGACGCTCCTGCTCCAAACGCTCCTGCTCCATCTTTGCCTCAATTTTCAGGTCCTGGCAGTCGCGGTCTTCCAAGCTTGCCACGATACTGAAGGGTACCCTAAACCCTAAACCCTAAACCCTAAACCCTAAACCCTAAACTACCCTAAACCCTAAACCCTAAACCCCCAAACCCCTAAACCAAGGAACATCCTGCAGGCTTTTGGGGATCAAAGTTTTCCGGAGTCCTTCTTGCTCATGGTCTTCTGCTTCTCGGTAATCCCTCGCCTTGGGGGGTGTAGGGTTTAGGGTTTACGGTTTAAGGTTCAGGGTTTAGGGTTTAGGGTTTACGGCTTAGGGTTCAGGGTTTAGGGTGCCCCCTCCCAGGCTTACGGAGGCGCTTTAGGCCTGAGGGATATTCAAGGAGGAATGCAATTCCCCCTAATATCAACCCCCCCCCCCCCCCCCCCTTCCCTTGCGTTTAGGCTTCAGGGATGTTCAAGGAGTGGTTTTGGCATTGGGTAGGGTAGGCAAAACTGAGAGCCAAGGTCCTGGCACAAGGGTAAGACTCATGACAAGCCCGGCGCACGACGCGGTAGTAGGAACGAAGCTCTTCTTCTCAGCGGGCTTTCGGGGTGACCGTGTCACTGATCGAGTAGCGATGGCTGGGCCATCTGGTGAAACCAGCGTCTCTTCCTTCCTTCCGGTGCACTTAGCCCCCGGATCTGCTGCCCCTAGGAAACCAGCATCTATCTCTCTCTCTCTCTCTCTCTCTCTCTCTCTCTCTCTGTGGCTATTCGACACTCTGGCCAGTGCTTTGCAGTATCTCCACACTTCCTGCACCTTGAAATGAAACCCTAAACCCTACACCGAAACCCGAAGCATCCTTGAGCCCGAGACAGCAAGGCTCCCTTCACTGTCATACCCACCCTGTTGACAGAGCCGAAGGTACAAGTAGTGTACTGTTTGTTGAAGAAGTTTGGCAAGGATATAACCGACAAGCTCTCCAGCTATGCAGCTATGTGATCTCGTGACGGATACAATTGCCTTGCAGGACTTCGAGCTTACACCCTCAACCCTGAAAGCCCCACGTCCAATGCTAGTTGTGCGTAACGGGTGGGCAAACCGGCTCAGTTCCCCACGAGTTGTCGATCAGACTGTTTCCTCGGCGTCTAGGTTCGTGGGCACGGGCTCTAAGACAGCGAATCCAGAGACGAGCGATTGAAGCTACTCTTTCGGGGAGAGGATTCGGGCGACACTTAGGGATATAGACCCTCTGAAAAAGGTCCCTGTTTAAGAGAGCCAGAAGTAGGTTCAGAAGGGTTCCCTCTTGGGGTCCCCCTTTGTCCTACCTGGACTGTTGCAGCTTCATCCCTGGGAGCGGCTTGCATTCTTCTGGTGTTATGGCGTAGCCCTCGCATCTTGAAGCCCTTCTGGCTGGTTCTTAGTAGGGAATGAGGGAATGAAGGGCCTCTATCATCCCTTAAAGCCTTAAAGGGTATAAGTAAGGCCCTCGCTCCCTCTTTCCCCATTTCGAACCAGGGAGCCTTGTAAAGCACAAGGGCTATTCCAGGGACATTAGCTTCAGGGTTCAGGGTTAAGGGTTTAGGGTAGTTGGAGTCCAGGAGTTGGGGCTTCAGGGCTCCTACTTTTCGAGTTGCTGTCTAGGGTTTAGGGTTTTGACTCATCCCCCCCCCCCCCCCACACACGCCCAACACCGAACCCCACGAAACCCTCGTGCGAACCAAACCCCTAAACCCTAAACCCTAAACCCTCAACCCTGCAACCTCAACCCCCCCAGAATTCCCACAGCACCCTGACAAGGTGCGCAGCTTGCCGATCGATCTCGCCCTTCGCGGAGTGTCTTTGGGGACTGGTGGGGATCTCACAAGGTGGCAGATCACTAAGACGGGCCTGTCGCTTGGTTAAGGGGGTGTTTAGGGCACGGTAGAAGCAACGATGACTCAATCAATGTCTGATTTGACAGTAACCCATGGCCAAGGAGGGATCGAGTTGCAACATGTGAAAGCCTGAGAACCCAGCTTTCGACTGAACAAAGCCTAACACCCTAACCCCAGAGCCCCAACAAGCCCAAGGGTACAGCTAAGCAAAGCTTTCAAACTGCCGCGACTATACAACTATAAGGCTATTCTCTAGACTATTTAGGGGGGGGGGGCTCAAAGCCGCGACCTGAGGGGTCTTGAAGGGCTTACATTTCGGAGATTAGGGTTTAGGGTTTAGGGTTTAGGGTTCAGGGTTCAGGGTTTAGCGTTTAGATCTTGAGGAGCGTGTTGGAATGCGCTAAAGTAGCACATTGCCGCTTTGCAGATTGAGCTGGGCAAGTTTGGGGCTCAAGGCCACCCTAAAGCCTAAACCCTAATTAAACCCTAAACCCTAAACCCTAAACCCTAAACCCTAAACCCTGAGCGTTAAGGAAGAGCATCTGTGCTATGCCAGGTGGCGCATCAGCCTGCAGCTTCTCCCTGAGCACCATGTTGAGTGTTGAAGATGCTGTTTGGGACCAGTAGGATTAAGAGTCCAGCGAAGGAGTCATGATGGAGCCACCCTAAATGCTAAACCCTAAACCCTGAACCCAAAGCCCTTTTTGCCACTGGTCTGAGGTCTAAACCCTTTTTTGAAGCATAGAGGTCTAAACCCTAAACCCTATAAACCCTAAACCCAGCCCCTGGAGCCCCCTGTACCCACTTGGACTCCGCTCTATTTCGCTCACTCCACCTTCTCGAACGGAGCCTTCCATCTGAACCTGACAACCTGCAGCCGAGTGGGCCTTACCTGGATTGGCGTTTAAACCAGGTGAAAAATGTAGGAAAATGCAACACATGCCAAGAGCCAACCTAGCTATAGCGGCCCTTATCTTGGTACCCAGCAACCGTTGTTTTAAATCAGGGTGCCCTTTTCTGGGTTGGTTGCTCTATACGGGAACCTTGGGAACCAACAAAAACAGGGTGGTAAACCCTAAACCCTAAACCCTAAACCCTAAACCCTAAACCCTAAACCCTAAGTTACAGCCCCATGGCCTCGTCATCGTCATTGTCATCTCCATGCTCGCTGCCCGGATGTCGTCATCCTGCGGGCTTTCGCTCTTTGACCTCGGAGGACATTGTAGGTTTAGGGTTTAGGGTTTAGGGTTTAGGGTTTAGGGTTTAGGGTTTAGGGTTTAGGGTTAGTGTTGGGGAGGGGCGGGGGGGGGTGGGGGGGTGGAGTTAGGGTCTAGGGTCTAGGGGATTAGGGTTTGGGGTGTGGGGTTCAGGGTTCAGGGTTTAGGGCAAATTTCACGCTGTACTTGCTTGGGCTACGCAGGGTCGACAGGCTTGTGTCTTTGTTCCTTGGTACAAGGTTTGTGTGAGTGGCGATGTAGTGCTCATGTAGGTTACAAGGATCTCCCTTTTTCATGAAACCCCACGAGCGCAAGAGTCAGATGAACTCCAGAAACCCCGAACCCCAAAATACCAAACCTTTCACTCGTACAACCCCTAAAGGCCTAAACCCTACAACTACTTTGACGGCTGTAGATTGGGATGTTCCCCTTATACTATCAGTCCTTAATCGGAATTACAATAGGGGGTACTATACTCCCTACTAAGGACTGTTGGTGTAAGGGGGAACATCCCAAGCTGTAGACCCTGAGCCCTAAACCCTAAACCCCCTAAACCCTAAACCCTAAACCCTAAACCCTAAACCCTAAACCCTAAACCCTAAACCCTAAACCCTAAACCCTTTTGCAAGCCAGGCGCCATGCGGTGATGCGCCGACGCGCAGCTTTCCGAGTGCGCGAGTTGGGCCGGAGCAAGTCTCCGGTGGGTGCCTCGAAAGGGAGGTTTAGGGTCTAGGTTCATAGGGTTTAGGGCTTAGGGTTTGGGGTTTAGGGTTTGGGGTTTAGGTGGGTTTGGGGTTTAGGGCTGAGGTGCTGAACGTTTTAGAGGCAAAAGGGGTCAAGGGCTCTGGCTGTCACTTTTCAGGGAGAGATCGAGGGTTCACACAAGAGAATCACCTGCTATCTGAAGGAGGGGACCCTTGTAAGGGACCTGAGGGGTTCCGTTGGGGTAGGGCAACTCAAGGGACTTAAGGAGGAGCCCTGACAAGGGACCTCAGGGGTTCCTTTGGGGCTTATGTAGGGGCTACTGAGGTATATAGGGACTGTGTGAGGTATGTAAGGGTTGTATGGAGGTAATAAGACTCAAGGTCCCTTCGAGGGTCCCTCCTTATACCCCTCAAAGTGCGGTAGTTGCAAGAGCTCGGGACTCCGACTCATGAGCGACACGTGCAGCCCGGGGTTACGATGCTAGGCGACAGCAGAAACTGCACGTTCTCCATGAAAGTGCTGCACAAGTACAAACGAAGCTTTCGCAAATTGCGACTGGTACCCCTCCCTTCCCCCCTCCCAAGCAACTCCGACTTTACACTTGCAGGAGCCATGTCAGTAGGAGGTATTTTCGTACGGTGCCCCCTAAACATCCCTGGAAGCCCTAGCTAAGCAGGCAGGGCGCAAAGAACATGGTCTTACTGGACACGTCCACCCGCTTGCGGAGCGAGAGTAAGTCGTACTCGCTTCGCGGCCACGGCAGAAACTTCACCGAAATCTCACCTGAGTGGCCGACTTCTCCCCAAACCCGAAAAATTCCAAGCTTGCAAGTAGGAGAGATGTCAGACTGGCAGCTTTTGCAGGACTGCCGGGCTTTAGAGCATCCTGGTTCCAGACCCTGCGTCCAACGATACGTCCAGAACACGCAAACCATACCGGGCCAGCGGAGAAGGCGTACAAGCCTTAAACCCTGGAGCCAAAAGGCCCCCCTGCCCTGCACTCGAAGCAGATGCAGTCTCGACCCTACTCAGGTTTCACCAGAAGACGCCTTCCACTCGGGCTTCCAAGATGCTGCGTTGAGCACGCGAGCCGATGACGCCGACCTTGCAGAATGTGGGGCTTCCGAGAATAAGGGCCTCCACCGTGTTTTCCCCAAAACCCAAAACCCAAAACCCAAAACCCAAAACCCAAAACCCTAAACCCTAAACCACTTCGAATACTCCCCCCACAGCCGTTGCAGTGCAATTCTCTCCCTAAAACCCAGGCTTCAGGGACCATCGCCTGGTCCGAGTCTCCGTCCGTCTAGCCCCAAAACCCTGCATCTAGGGTTTAGGGCTAGGGTTTAGGGTTTAGGGTTTAGGGTTTAGGGTTTAGGGTTTAGGGTTTAGGGTTTAGGGTTTAGGGTTTAGGGTTTAGGGTTTAGTGTTTAGGTTTAGGGTTTAGGGTTTAGGGTTTAGGGTTTAGGGTTTAGGGTTTAGGGTTTAGGGTTTAGGGTTTAGGGCTAGGGTTTGGGGTTTAGGGTTTCGGGGGCAGTAGTCGTAGAAATCATGGCCGAAGGGGCGAAGGCGACCTCGGCCTGCAGCTGAAAGTTCTCCTCCGGGATGACGTACCAGCCCGGGAGCATGTTCTGAAACCTCGCAGAGAGATTTGGGTTTAGGGTTTGGGGTTTGGGGTTTGGGGTTTGGGATTTAGGGTTTAGGGTTTAGGGTTTAGGGCTTTTTGCGGGTGGTTTGGGGTTTAGGTCTCAGGGTTTCTTAAGTTTCTCAGAGACTGGCGTTTAGGGTCATTCAGGGAATCAGAGTGGAAATACCTTGAACCGGGCCCCCGGACGCCACGATCTCAAGAACTGAAGCTCTGACATGCATGCATCCACTCATCCACTCGAAAGCAAAATGACTCGGGGGGTTTACGATATTTAGGGTACCCTACTGGGGTGCTTATAAGGGGATCCTACTATTTGGGGGTCTATATTTTGGGGTCCCCTGTTTTCGCCAACCCCCGTATGTAGGCGTTGAACATGTGTGCTCTAGCCGACCTCGGCGAGAAGGGACTTTCGTTTGCACAAGCCTAGCCAGGTGGCGTTTTGTACTTATCGTTGATGATCTCGCGGTTGAACTTTGTCCACGTCTCGGTGGAACCTCATCTGCATGGCGAGGTGGAGGGGGAAGCAGAGCGAGAGAGCAAGAACAAGATACTATTGAATCCTCATGACACCTGTCCATGAGCAGAATGTTGTGCAGCTCTCTCGTCCGCAAGCAGTTGGCTTTCCAACGCCAAGCAGTTTTGTATACAGAGTTAAAGGTGACTAAACCAAGCTCCCAGGAACAATACGCATACTTGGTGGCAATGGGCGCGTTCCTCCGTTCAGAGAAGGGCGATTTTTGGTGGCGGGGTTCGACGATGTAACGGAAAGCGTTGGCACGAGCCATCATTTTTATGTAGGGTTTAGGGTCTAGGGGTTTTGGGTTTCGTCGGCATTCATCTCAAAGGACTAAGGGATTTCAGGGGTTCTTTAGGGGTTATTCAGGGGCTGATTCGGCATATACAGGCTCTATAGGGTATATGTTCTGCGTAATCGACACCCCCCCCCCCCCCCCCCAAACCCTGCCCGTTACCCCGAAGAACGGCACGGACCACAGGGGGGGAGAGACAAGCCTCAACCTGAACCCCAAACCTGAACCCTAAGCCCGAAAACCTAAACCCGCCAGTGACCCACAGGGGGGATAAACCCGAAACCTTAACCGCTTTAACCCTGAACCGTAAACCCAGCACGAACCACAGGGGGGGAGAGGGGAAACCATAAACCTACCATGACCCCAAACCTTGAACGGTAAACTCTAAACCCACCGCCAATGGACCAAGGAGGTCAGAGTGAACATCCTGAACTCTACAGCCTAACCCTAAACCCTAAACCCATGAGCCACAGGGGGGGGAGGAACCCAGCACCCAGCATGAACCACAGGGCAGGGAATTACTAAGGGGGCGAGGGGGGGGTGCGGCTATGCTGGCTCATATATAGGGGGGCTATATAGGGGAATAAGATGAAGGGTCCCTTCTAGGGGTCCCTCCTTATATAACGTAATCATCGTGGACCAGCATGCTTCCCCCTAAGCGATGGCCCGCTCCTCATGAGCAGGCACATGAGGGCAAACTTCTTCTCGATGAGCATGACTCCGGGAGGATCGACCAAGATGGTCAGCATAATGCTTGCAAACAAGCCTCCATGACGCTTCTGAAGGGTTTAGGGTTTAGGGGCTCGGCCCTAAACCCTAAACCCTTAGGGTTTATAGTCGTCCTGGTCCTTGAATAGATGGAATTTGGGTTTCGGGTGGATTTTAATTCTTCGGGGTTTTGGGCTTTTTCCCACGTTTTTTAAGGAGCCCATAGATAGAATCCTGAAGCCCATAGATAGACTATCGCAAAGAGTCTCAAAACCCAAAGATAGAACATTTTCGGGACCCCGAAAAAACACCGTTTTCGGCTTAACCGTTCAGGTCCGCAGGGGTCTTGACACTGTTTTCTGTAGAGACACAACAGTCTATACACGCATGTATAATCATCCTGGAATAGATGGCGTCTTGGAATTGCTAGCTGTTTTTTGTGAAATTCTGTGTTTGCCGAACCCATTGATAAAATATCCTTGTGTAAGAACAGAAGAGGAAGAGGACAGGAAGAACTCCCCAACCCCCACCCCCACCCCTGGGAACCCATAGATAGAATCTAGTTAACCCCGACGGCCCCCACCCCTTATCAAATGTAACATGGGGGGCGGGGGGGGGGGGGGCATAATGCAAAACGGTAATTTTGATGTTTTCAGGTTTGCGCCGGAGGGGAGGGTAATTTGGGGGCCCCCAAAATCCCACCCCCTCAAACCCACACCATCGGTGTCATGGTCGAAGCGCATTTCGGGTCCGCCCGATCGTGAACGGGGGTGTGCGTTTCAGGTGCGCCGCGCGTGGCCGCGGAGGTGCGTTTCAGGCTCAGCTGGAATGCGTTTCGTACAGGCCAAGGTGCGTTTCAGGTCCGGCACCACCATGACATGAAGCCACAAGTCCGAAGCCCCTGAAGCCACCCGCTACAAGCCATGTCAGGCCGCGTCCAGGTTTATAGGGTTTATTGTATTTATAGGGTCCAGGACTTATAGGGTTTAGGATTTAGGGGTTTAGGCTTGAGTGGACTTAGGGTTTATGTGAACTGTCATGTGGACTCCTGAAGCAATCAGCTTGAGGGATTTTGTTTTGCGGGGGCGGCCCTATGCAGGGTGGAAGCGCGTTCCCCCCCCCCGCCACCCCTAAAATCGCTAATGTCCAGAAACCCTACAATGCCCTACAACCCAAACCCTAAACCCTAAGCCCTAAGCCCTAAACCCTAAACCCTAAGCCCTATGCCCTAAACCCTAAACCCAAAACCCAAAACCCAAAACCCAAAACCCTAAACCCGAAACCCTAAACTAAAACCTAAACCCTAAACCCTAAACCCTAAACCCTAAACCCTAAACCCTAAACCCTAAGCCCTAAACCCTTAACCTTAAACCCTCGACCGTAAACCCTAAACCGTAAACCCTAAACCCTAGACTCTAAACCCTAAACCCTACACCCGAAACCCTAAACCCGAAACCCTAAACCCTAAAACCTAAACCCTAAACCCTAAAGCCTAAACCCTAAGCCCCCTAAACCTTAAACCCTAAACCCTAAACCGTAAACCCTAAACCGTAAACCCTAAACCGTAAACCCTAAACCCTAAACCCCAAACCCGAAACCCTAAACCCGAAACCCTACACCCTAAAACCTAAACCCTAAACCCTCAACCCTAAACCTCAAGCACTGCGCCTGAAATGCACCATGTGTGCGTCTGAAATGCCCCCGGTATGGTTCTGAATTGTCTCCCGTCGGGATCCCGAACACCGGGCCTGAAATTCGTACCTGAAATGACCCTAGGTGCGTCAGAAACGTACAACGCTCCCGGTGCCATAACTTCTCTTGCGCCCTCCCCCGAAAAGAGCACCTCCAACTCCCCTGGGAACCCATAGATAGAATATATAGCTAACTCCGACCGCGGAGGCGCCTAAACTCTAGGCCAGGGTTCTCAGGCTATGTAAGCCTCAAGAGAGGCGTCTGCCAGTGATGCCTACTTTGGGCTGCTTGGAGCCTTACATTATATAGCTTAGAACCCTAAACCCGAAACACGAAACCCCAAAAACCCAAATCCCCGACTCAAACACTGTCAAAAAGAGGAAACCCATAGATAGAATATAGTTGACCCCGGTGCGCCCCTTGGCCCTAAACTTTAGGCCAAAATCTATCCAACGTTTTGGGGCTTTTGAAATTCGATTTATCCTTTTGGAAAGGGGTTTTGTTTTTTCGGATTTTCAAATATTGAATCTACTTAAGGATGCTTATAGGGCTATGCGTTCAGCAGGGTGGCGCTCACACAGAATCATGCCTATGCCCGTGATCACTGAATGATTGCAGCGCTTTCTTCAAAGAGCATCGTCTGGCTCCCGTTACATCCGGTTGGGTGCTGGAACTCAAGGCTGGAGGATGAGTTTAGGGTTTAGGGTTTGGGGTTTAGGGCTAGGGTTTCGGGTTTAGGAAACCTACCATCCACAAGGCTTCATTGCCACCATCCTCAGAATTCAGAAGCCTTCCCCTGACTACTGTTTGCTTAAGAACCCCCCCGCAAGAAATACCCAGGGTTTCCAGCTAAAGCCTCGCCCGAGGTCCGAAGTATTTCCCCAGGGACCGTTTCAATCATGGTAATCTAGGGCCCCAAAAATGCACATAAGCAACAATTAGGATAGGGATATCCCATATAAACCCCCCTACAAGGAAGCCCAGTAAGGTAGGGATATCCCTATAAAATGCTTATGCTTATGTCCTTTTTGGGTGCCTAATAATCCGGGAAAGTTGCCACAACTGAGGGGACGATTGTGCGACAGTAGCGGTTGATTGAGGACTTTTGACTTGGGGCTTCTTCACCTCGTTTAGGGTTTAGGGCTCTTTCTCCATCCAAGAGAAACCGGCAGAGAAAATCCGGCGCCGTATCCTCCATCCGTCTTTGTTTCGGGGTGGCTTGTACGAAGCGAAAGCAACGCTTTTCGCGTGTTTCGCCACGACTATTTGAACCAGCTGCTATCCTGACTGCTATCAGCGGCTGAATGTAAGGTTTGTGATTTTAAGTATGTTCGGGCTGAGGGCTTGCACTTTGGGCTACTTTATGACATTCGAAGGCTTACCCTGGGGCCTCGGATCTAACCCTAAACCCTCTGAGGCGACTCAACGCATAAGATGCCTGGCTTGTTGAGCTCAGACCCCAAAAACCCAATTAACCCAAACCCTGAAGCCCAGCAAATAGAAGGACTAGACCCAGGAGTAACCTGCTGCAAAAAGGGTGCCCTTTTTTGTTTTAAAGGGGATCATAAGGGAACCTAAACCCGGAACAAGGGCCTACACTGTGTCCTAGAGAAACCCTCAACCCTCAACCCTAAACCCTGCCAAGGAGCACATCCAAAGAATGAATTGGACCACAAAGGAGGGGTGGCCTCGGTACTAGTCTTTAGGGGACCCTACCTTGGGCCCCATAAGGTTGTACCCTTGGCTTTGGGGACCCCTTTTTTGGGGATTTAGGGTTAGGTTCTTTTTTAGGGTTTAGGGTTTAGGGCTTAGGGTTTGGGAAAGATCCTCTACTAAGTGGGGCCATATTCGGAGTATATCAAAATAGAACGCCAACCCCTCAAACCCGAAACCCTAAACCGCGCGCTTTTTTGGCGAACCGGCCCGTAAGCAGCGCGCCGCCACCGGAAATCAACTCATGCAAGGTGTGAAGGCAGGAACTCTTGCAACTGGACTGCGAACGACTGCCCGGAAAAGCACACCCTAAACCCCTATAAACCCTAATGACACCGGTAAAACCATACAACAAATCCTAAGAACCTGCAACAGCCCTAAGCGCCCTTAACCATTCACTCTACTTTGGAGTAGACCCTGGAAAAAAGTACATACTTCTTAGGTGTAAGTGTAAGTAGCTACAAATAGGACCTAAGAACAAACAAAAAACATTAAAGTATAGTCCCTCAACCCCTAGACCCTAAACCCTAAACCCTAAGCCCTAAACCCTAAACCCAGTTCAGGCTTCACTGCTGCAGCAGGTGGCGTGCAGGCCAGAATCCGCGGTTGATGAGGCCGATCCGCCCCCCGTACCTGAACCCTAAACCCTAAACCCTAAACCTTAAACCCTAAACCCAAAACCCTAAACCCTAAACCCTACACCCCAGGATAAAGCGATTTTTGCCCACCCGTTTCGCAAGCGATTTAGGGTTTAGGGTTCAGGGTTCAGGGTTGAGGATCCTGCAAATAGGGACTGTGGGAATCCCCCGAAAATAGGGGCCCTTATACTCCAATAGTTGCGTGCTGATGTTTATGTGGATTTTTGGGCCCTAGATTTTGCCACCCGCCTAGCAAGCGCGCTGCACGTGACAGTTTTGTGCAGCTGATAAGGTTTGGGGTTTGGGGTTGAGGGTTTAGGGGTACCCGCAAGCCCTAAACCAAAAGAACTGTCAATGACCTGTGACAAGTTTTGGGGCAAAAGGTCAGAGCTACAGCCCCAACCCAGAAATCTGGTGTGCACACTAGTCTGGTTTTCTTAGGGGCTGAACACCCTAGCCCAAAAACATTGTTAACCCTTTAATTGTACTAGGATTACAGAACAAAAAAGGCGAAAGGCTAACTACCCAGTCCCTAAGTTCTCAAAGCACCTTTTACTTGTAATAGGATTACATCTAACCCCAAAGGTTAAAACCCTAAACCCTAAACCCTAAACCCTCGACCCTAAACCCTAACTACCCAGCCAGGACACATTATCAGCAGCAAAGGAATGCTGAGAGGTCCAAGCCTCGGCGCGACGACATCCTACAAGCGGGGCTTGCTCCCAATTACCCCGGGTTTAGGGTTTAGGGTTTAGGGTTTAGGGTTTAGGGTTTAGGGATGTCCCCCTTATACTCACAGTCCTTAATCGGGATTATCATAGGTCCCCACGAACCATGAAGGACTGTTAGTACAAGGGGGAACGTCCCAAGGTTTAGGGTTTACGAGGGTTAGCCAGCGCTGCAGCCGATCCTGAAACCACTCTAAGCTTGAACGCCTCTCAACACGAGACTTCCCCAAACAAGCCCCTAAACCCTAAACCCTAAACCCTAATCCCTTTTTTCACAAGGGACTCGACTGCTGGTCTAATCCCTAATCCCTAAATCCTTGGCCCTTGGACAGCCAAGCTGCACTGTGTAAAGCATCTGACCAACCAATTCCTCAGTGCACGTGTCTGACACACATATCTATAGCTTGCAGACGACGGGTTTGCACCTTCCCTTCCAGCACTAGCGCCACGATGATGTCGGATATTCCCAAGAACGATTATCGCGCTTATTGCTGTTATGGCTCCTGCTACTCTGATTAGGATTCCGCATCTGCATATTGCTGATGTTCTGACCGTGGTTCCCATTCCTGCTGCTTTTACTATTGCTACATAATGATTATATTTGAATAACAACTAGAGAAACGGATGCATAACACACATACATACATACACACACACATACAGTAATAACTTCGTCACATATATATATATATGATATGATATGATATAAATAAATAAATAAATAAATAAATAAATAAATAAATAAATAAATATATATATATATATATATATATATACGTATTACGTATGCACATGCATGCACAACAGTACTGGATGTCGCACCAGCTAGCAGCAGCCCTCTCTTCAACCAAACTCCCTGCTGAGGTTTTTGAAGAATTCATGGGTCCGAAGAACTGGGTCCGAAACGCTGGCGACTCAATGCTGCCCAAGCATCAATGACGAAGACCCGGTAGTGGAAGACTTCGGAGACTTCACTGATCCAGCTTTCCAGGTCTTCATGGAAGATTTGTGCAGTGGCAGCATGACCCATGTCCGGGTCCATGTCCGACATCTCAGGACCAGGCTGTCGGTAGGGTTTAGGGTTTGGAGTTTGGGTTTTAGGGTTTAGAGGGTTTTAGGAGTTAAGGGTCTACATATGGGGTTAATAGGGATTATTGAGAGGTTTCCGGGTTGCCTTAGCGTTCTTGGAGGTTCCCTCTACATGGTAAATGCACGTCCTACCAGCGACATGTCCCCCCCCCCCCCCTCCCCGCCCGCCCCACCTGACTGTTGGCTCTCAAGTGTCCTGATATTGAAACGCCCCGCAACGCTCCAGGCCTGATAGTTGCATGGTGGCTTGGCACTTCCTTGACAGCAACCCGGGAGTCAGGTAGAAAGCCTTTTGCAACAGGCTTACCACTTCGGCTCTTAGGTAGAAAGCCTAAACCCTAATCCTGAACCTGAGCTTCGAAACCTTAAGGGGTTTAGGGTCTAGGGTCACCTCAGACAGAACTGCCCCGATGTCTGTGTGTGAGGAAGCTTGGGAGGAGGACTTGCCTGAAGAGCTTGAAACCTTGTGGCTCTATGACTTAGTAGCCCAGTAACCATATTATAACAAGGGCACCCATTTTTTTGGTTGGGCACTTTATAAGGGAACCAGAACCTAAACCATAAACCCTAAACCCTAAACCCTAAACCCTAAACCCTAAACCCTAAACCCTAAACCCTAAACCCTAAACCCTAAACCCCAAAAAAGGGTACCACAGGTTCTATGAAGGCCTTCCAACTTGCCTCCCGAGCCCAGCCCGATGGCAAAAAAAACCCACGCCTGGGCAGATTCGCAAAGTGCGCCCGCAACAGCTAAAACCCTAAACCCTAAACCCTTTTGGACCCAGACTCTGAACGTCAGCTGGCACGATGACAATTGCATCGACTTACTTCCAAGAACCGAAATGCAACATCCAAGAACATCAAGCGATCTCAACCTCAAGACCTGCAAATCGACGAGCCCACGAAACATCCTCCAACCGGCATATGGACAGCAGCACCCCGTGATCATGCCACAACGTGTGAACCCTAAACCCTAAACCCTAAACCCTAAACCCTAGAATCCTGCGGGCTGGAGGCCCGTCTCCAATTCCGTGTCCTGTGTGACTTCCTTCGGCGTGGCGGCGTTGAGGCAAGGGGGTGAGGATCTGAAGTTGAAAACCCTAAACCCTAAACCCTAAACCCTAAACCCTAAACCCTAAACCCTAAACCTGAGGTTGGGATGTGCGTAGAGGTCGTCCAGCTTCATCTAGGGCTTCTACCTTGGACCCTTAAGCTTGTACCCTTGGGGGTTTTGGGGTCCCCTTTTTAAGGATCCCAAAGGTTGTATAAGGGCCATATTTAGGGTTTAGGGTTTAGGGTTTAGGGTTTAGGGATCAGGAGTATATTCAGGGGAACCTTCAGGGGTACAACCTTCGGGGTAGGAACCTTCATCGCTTGACTTGAGGGTTGCCAAGGTCGCTAAGGTTCCCTGCGCCCATCTCCTGCTACCCCCAAGCAGAACCCAGCCTCGGTAGCGCAGTAAGCATCTTATATTAAGGCTTACCCTCTTTGTGGGGTTGGTTACTTGTATAAGGGAACCCAGAATCCAAAAACAAGGGCAAAGGGTTAGGGTTTAGGGTTCAGGGTTCAGGGTTCAGGGTTTAGGGTTTAGGGTTTAGGGTTTACCACTGGGCTACCAAGAAGCTTGAACAAAAACAGAGAATCGCAAACAGGCCTCCGGAATCACAGAGACCTGATCCACGGGCCGCTTTGTCTTCAGGTCCTTGCAAAGACAGCTCCACAAAGGGCTGGGGACTCAAAGATCCAAAGGAAGGGCTCAAGTTATGTTGTTTGTTTTTTTTGCCACCCGCTTAGCTGACCTCTCGGACACTCTGCAGGGAAATTGGCTGAAATGTCTGACTGGATTCAAGACCTCATTGTTTGGGTTTAGGGTTTAGGGTTTAGGGCTTAGGGTATAGGGCTTAGGGCTTTGGGTTCCGGGTTTAGGCTTTTGTTTTGCCACCCGCCCAGCACTCGGGCACACAGCGGGGGATACCTCAACCTCAGAGGGTCTCCACAAATTAAGGCATTGCGGGTTAGTTTCGGGCTGAATAATATGCACCCTTCCCACAATCAAGAGTCGCTGAACCTCAGGACCCAGACGTTCAGGCACAAACCCGCAAGTACTCCATTCGGCCTTTTTTGGGGGGGATCCAGGGGCCTCTACACAATCATGTGTACCGATTTCGCTGGAAGTCTAGGAATAACCACCCTTCCACAATCATAGGCTGTTACACGCTCAGGACCATCTCCAGTGTACGCCTGTATTGCCCTTGGGTAAACCACAGCAGACCACGAAACAAAAAGCACAAAGGAAGTAGCTTCGAGGTTGTGTAGGCTGGAGGACCCGTCTTCTTACAAGACTGCTGGTCGTTATTCGGGATATGCTGCATCTACTCCCCTTGTCCTTCAACATCAACCACCAGCATCTAGGACAGGGCTGGGATGTCTATCGTTCGGGGAGCAGGTCGACCCGAACGGCTGGTTGAAAAGACCATTGTCCCTATGGTGGGTGCCGGCCAGCATGCACTGAACCCATGGACTGATAAGGGTGCCATGGCCCATCTCATGCCTCGAGTAGTGCGCGGTTGGGGTTCTTGGCTCTCTGTGCCGAGTTGCAGTGGACGCTAAAAATGCAATAAGCGCGCGGTTGCTGAAGCTACAGTGGGCACCAATTCCGAACCCTTGGCGCTGGGTGGCGCTTTGCTGCAGATTGCCCATTGACGACTCGAAGGGTGAAGTTTGAAGCCACGCGCGCGTTGCTGTTCGAGTGGCCTGTGTTTGCTTGGCTGTTTGCTCTGAATACAGTAGACTCCAGAAAGTTGGAGCATGGTTTAAGGGTGATTAGGGCTGGGATTCCCTTTAGTGTACCTTTTGGGGTATGGGGATAAGGATGTTCCAACTTTCCGGAGTTTACCTTGGCTGCACTCAGGAGGGTAGCTATAAATTAAACTTTTAGCTGCCTTAAGAAGAAACCCAATAAACCCAAAAAGGAAAGGATCTAAAGTTACAGTAAAGTACCACAAAGTTACAGTCGTTCATACTAGGAAGCTAGGCAATGCCAGCTGACAAAGAGAAGTGAAACAGATTCCGATGAAGCTTCTCCCGGCGTGGATTCCTAGTGCGCATTCTCGCTCGAAGAACGGATCCGCAATGAGGAACCCTAAGCCCTAAACCCTAAACCCTAAACCCTAAGGAGCACATGCTTTTGGTTCAGCTGTTGCTCCTAATTGAGCCCGGCAGGGAACCTACAACGTGAAGTCAAACTTCTGGCCCTCGACCCTGCGAACTAAAGTCCTTAACCCCAAACATCCCCCCAGGAACATCAGAGTTGATGCCCCAAACCCTCAACCCTCAACCCTCAACCCTCAACCCTAAACCCTCACCCCTGTAGGCTGACAGAAGGCGGCGGGACCCTGAACCTGAACTCAACCTTGACGTCCGAGAATCCTCCTGGGACCAGGAAGCCGGCTGAGAGTCCACATCCTTGGGCAAGACTACAGGGGTGTGGGTTTAGGGGTTAGGGGTTAGGGGTTAGGGGTTAGGGGTTAGGGGTTAAGGGTTTAGGGTTTAGGGTTTAGGGTTTAGGGTTTAGGGTTTAGGGTTTAGGGTTTAGGGTTTAGGGTTTAGGGCAATTATATACCATTTGCTTAAGAACCCCAAAAGAATATTCTTCTTTATAAGGGCAAGACTACTATTTGCTTAAGAGCCCCAGAATAATCAATAATACTCTTCCTTATAAGGGTAATACAGGGAGATTAGTTACTACTTGCTTAAGAACCCCAAAGATAATAACACATCTTCTTCCTCATAAGGGCAATACAGGGATTATTTTTCTTTTAACTTTTTGGGGGCCTCTTGAGCAAATAGTTGGAAGGCGCTGGCAGGCTTCAGGGCTGAGAGCCGCCTGTGGCTGAGGGTTTAGGGTTTAGGGTTTTAGGGTTTTAGGGTTTTCGGGTTTTAGGGTTTTAGGGTTTTGGGTTTTGGGTTTTGGGTTTTGGGGTGTCGCAGACGAGGTCTGCGTAGGGAATGGCAGCCAGCCAGGAAAAAAAGAAGGGTGCAGCTTTTGGGTTAAACGGGCTACCCTGGGTCATAGGTAGGATTTTCGGAGCTCTTCAGAGCTTCAGGGGCTTGGGGACAAGGGGCTTGGGGGTGACACTCTTCTGGAGGAAAAATCAAATCAAATGTCCCAGTTCTTGAGGGGCCCGTGCAGTTAGAGTGGAATTTGGTGTTTATGAAAGCTCACCGCCTCTAAGTCTGCAAAGAATCCCCCCCCCCCCCCGCCCGAAAACTGACCAAGCAGCAACAACCTTCAGCTCACCATTCTCGCCTGGCCAGAGAGGGTTTAGGGTTTAGGGCTTAGGGCTTAGCGGAGCTGGAGCCATCTATGCCCTGGTAGCCCCAATCACAATATTTGAATAGAGGTACCCTTATTATTTTTATTTATTTTTATTTTTGGGAGGGGGGGGCTGGTTACTTTATAAGGGAACCTTGAACCAAACAAAAAAAGGAAAAGGGTTACCACTGGGCTGCCAAGGTGTTTATCCGTTAGGGGCCGGGGTCTAGGCCTTGGTGGGGTTTAGGGTTTATAGCTTTATAGGTTTATAGGTTTACAGGGTTTATAAGGTTTACAGGGTTTATAGGGTTTTTGGGTTTGTGGGTTTATAGGTTTTTAAGGCTTTTTAGGTTTTTTAGGCTTATATCTTTATAGGTTTATAGGTTTATAGGGTATGGGGTATAGGGCTTAGGGTTATCAGCTCGCGCCTTCGGAGTTGATGCATGCAGCAGGAGCACAGCCTCCCACAAGCTGGCAGCTGGGGGGTCTTTGCTTCGACTCGGAGCTTGCTTTCGCTAGGTTTAGGGTTTAGGGTTTAGGGTTTAGGGTTTAGGGTTTAGGGTTTAGGGTTTAGGAGCTGGCCAGAGAGCTGGGGCCCCAAACTTCAACCCTTGGAAGGTTGCCCA